GCAACTCATTATTTCGGAAAGTTTGCTTTGTTCCTGGCGAAAGAAAGCTCTTACATTTTCTCTACTTCAACCCGCTTAACACCGACACTCCCTTAATACATATGGCCACTTTCTATGGCCCCCCTTCTATGGCCCCAACCAGGGACTGGACTGTAGAATGTAGGAAAAGACGTATCTAGTTCAATTGACTGTAGCCTGTAGAAAGAGAAGGAGGGAAAAGAGAGAAGAATTAGGAGGAAAGGAACCAGCGTTCCATTGCAGTGAAACATTGGGTGCTTTCCGGACCGTAATCTGGAATACTAGAAATACAAAGAGTAATATGGAATATTCGTTCAATTGATCTTCAATTCCAACTCTTGAATAAAGGAATAAATTATATTCCAAATGAGCAGAACGCTTGTGATAACACGGAATAATGACGCCACTTTCCTCGCGTCGCATAGCGGATGTCGTGGTCTTATTTATCTTTGATTCGTAATTGCTCATCCAAAGACACTTTTCCTTAAGCGCTAGTGACAGTGGGGGTGGAATTATGCGTGAACCGATGATTATTATCATTTATGCCGATTTTATTGTCGAAGAATTTCTTCAGGCAAAGAGCTTGGCTCAATTATTAATTCCTAGTAAGCTGGCGGTTTCTTCGGCAGACAAACTGCAACGTGTAAATCTGCCTTACGGTATCTGGTTCATTGGAAGCATTGCCAATACTGTAAAATTCCGAAAATAAGCCCCCGGGCTTATATTTTTCAAAGGCCCTTTTTGAGGGTCTTATTTTGGAGGGGCTTATATTCGGAGGGGCTTAAGTACGGAGGGAAATTTGCGTTTCTAAATCGATTGGGCTAACTTGTAGAGGGAAAGAAATTTACCAATTTTGCTTTGTTTTACTTTGTATTCGAGGGCAAATTCCAAGTACAAGCCCCCCAGGGGGCTTATATTCGGAGGGGCGATTTTACGGAGGGGTTTTTGCGTTACCATTTTGGGGGGCTTATATTTGGAGGGGCTCATACATGGAGGGGCTTATTTTCGGAATTTTACGGTACCCTAACACTGATTGAGTGAAATTTCAAGGTAATTATAACGAGTTGCCTTTGGACCGTAAACAGGTTAGTCAATAGAAAACATTAATACTTCAATTTATTTTTCAATTTTCCGTGAAACGTGAATTACTTGATTTTTCCGAGAACGAGAAAAAATTTTAGAAATTATTCGTGACGCAAGAAAAGTCAACAAATTTCACGCAGTCCGGGGCACTGATGTTATTTTCTTAACTCTGGACAGTCAGTCAGTGTCACTTCATTTGGCTACGTTTAGGATGATTTGCTTTTCATACGCATTAGTTTTCAACGGAAGTCGAACTCATCCTCTTAGGTTAAAAAGGATGACGTCACAAATGATACACAAGCGCTCGTACGGTTGTTAGTGTGACAATCGGTTGGCTAATTTCAGTTGTAGTTTGCTAACTCCGCCGCAAGGCATGGGGGAGTGCATTCTTTACAATACATAATAGTCGACTTTTAAAACAAGCGCAGCTAGCTAAGGGAAACGGAAGTAATAGTTACAAGATCATCGTTCCAAGATGTATATGACGCCAGCAGTAAATGCAGAAGAGTATTATTTAGAGCTGGGAGCCACCCAAACTGGCAACGTTGAAGAAGCATACGATGACATTATTGTCGGAGAAGCAGCGACAAATGTTCAGGTGCAAACAGCTAGTAACGGGTATAGTTACAAAGGAAGCACGAAGGGGCCGCTCGCAACAACAGAGGTTGAGAAGCTGGAGAAGGTTCTGAGAGCCGAAATCTTGAGAGCCGGGCGAATGAGGCTCTTCATGTTGACTGTAATTATCGTAACGTTCTTGATAGCTGTTGCCGCTTTGATTTTGGTCATAATGAAGACAGCGGATGGAGAAGGTTCAGCCGCTCCGAAGCAGGAAACAAAAGCACAAGGTAAACGGATTTACAAGCTGTTTTCTCGCGGAAAATCATTGGCCTTCGATTTTATTAGGCAATTAGGCATGCATGCACCCAATGGCGAGATAGTTTTCTTTAACCAGATAAACAAAAACTAGCCAACATCGATTACTTTGATGGAAAATTACTGAGATAAACAACAAATTACATGAGTAACCGTCATTTTTGTTTACCAGTTAGTTAACCTGACCTAAGCCTGACCGATAAGCATGGATACAAGGTGGATAATTTTTATATTTTTGACCCCGTGGACTCAATCCTGCACGGGTCAAATGATCAGCGTTTTATCAGGACCACTAAGGTTCCTCCATGGTTCTCCTTGCATATTTCTCGATATTTATCTCGACGGAATTTGGTTTTTGTAGAGAATTTTGACTAGGGCTACTTATTCTTGAGAGAGGCAAATGCAATCGATTAGGGGCATCACGTCATTAACATGCATATTAGGCTGTTTAAACGCGCGTGAAATGTGGACGGAGCACATCTCTCCTGATGAAACTTGTTGTAGCTTTTGTTTTTAAACGATAAATTTAACCCCCGGCTTTTTCGCTTCAGCGAAAAAAACGCCTCATCGCAAGCTATAGAATTCGTCCGGTAGTTGTGGTATACGCCATTCGACTGCGCTATTACTAAACAAAAAACTACATTGTAGCTACCATGCAAATTAGAATTTTAATCTTTCTCTAACCACGCAAAAAAACAATAACGGGTGTTGACTTCTTTACCCACAAAAATTATAATTATGCAGAGGCATTTAACGGTTGGGGTAACACAACTAGGCTCAATAAGCAGTAACAATGTTGATTAAAATTTCCACTTCGCAAGTTAAAAAAAGGGAACCAGTGTGGAGATTTACTGTGAGAGACTAAGGAAGAAGGAAATCAATTTAACCCAG